AGTTAAAATTTTTTACAAGGCGTTTGCCAGGTAAATGTGTGGAACTGTTGAAGTTCTAAATCATCTTCAAAGCCAGCAGCTCAGTGAACCACTTGGGCAGGCAAAGGAGAGAATATTCAGGAGTAAATGATTAGCCAAGCCTATACTAGGTGAGCCAAATATTCCTCATTTAAATCAAAAGCTCCCAATTTCTTTTGCCTTGCCAATACAAGCATGTTTTATTTTTAATAATGTGTATTAGTTTCCTAGGGCTGTGATACGAAGTACAAACACTGGGTCCTTTAAAACAATAGAAATTTATTATCTCCCAGTTCTGGAGGAACCCTGAGGTGGGGCAGGTTGAAGCCCAGTTAGGGCATTCTTCTCAAATATTCTCAGGATGAAGGAATTAATAGCCTCCGGGCCAACAAGCATCTATAAGGCTTCAAATGTGGGAAAGGAAAATCAAGTAAGTAGGGGCTTTCCTTGGATTTCAGCCAGAGCCTCCCAGGAGCAGCGAAAAGCCAGGCAGCGCTGCCTTGGAGATAGACGCTCCAAATACACCCTGCATTGCCAGCACAGAGGGCTGCCCCCTCTGTTGGGGGGTAATTACATCCCAGTCCCAAGGCTCTTATTATGAAACAGTGGCAAAATCTAAACGGCAAATCTCGCCCTTGAACATGGGCGTCTGTCATGTCTTTATAATGCCCCCATGCTTTCTTGTCACATTCTCTTTCACCACCCTGCCACGCTTCATCACCATGCCACGCTGAATCAAGCTGGGTGGGATACCACAAGGGCCTGGATGCAAGGTTCACTGGTCTGATTACAGGTTGGGATTCAGAGTACTGGGGAGGCTTGCCAAGTCCCTGAAATCTGCGGGAACCTCCCAGAATAGAATGGGTCTCTTGAAGATGCTCCCAATTCCCACACTGAGGTTTCATGCCCTCTGTCTGCCCCCTTGTCCCTGCCCATCCTAAGTTTTAAATTACACTCAGTGAGTGAAACTAACTTGCTGCAAGCCAACTAAAGCCTGTTAAAAGTCCTCAGAATGCAAGTTCCACACAAGCCTCTGGATATTACTCTGCCCCTTACGAAAGAAAGATCGGAAATGAGCCTCACTACAGCAGCTGCTCGAGAGGTCAGAGTGGCAGGCTGATTCTGAAGAGAGATAAAGAAAAGTAACACTAAAGCCTTGAAGTCACTTTTACTTTGTGGAAAAATTGAGTTCTAACAGGGCTCAGAGATTTCTTAAAAGCAGGAGGTTCAAAAGTCACCTTCCATTCGTTCATTTATTCATTGATTCAATGAGCATTTCCTGTGCTTGTCTCATTACTAATTGGACTGATGGGGATGAGGATTAGAGGCAGGAAGCTAATTACTGGATTCCTGGGGAACATGAGAGCGAAAGAAGCCCTGAGCCCTGGAATGGCTAAGACAAATGTGCACCCTCAAAGACAACACAGAAGCTTCTAAGGAACCTGAGCTTGTAGTAGGAGGTCTGTCCAGCAAAAGGGATCCTCTCTTCCTAGAGAGGATCTGGACAAGGAGGGAACTCAAAGTAAAATACTCGGAAGTTGGGGTTCCGAAGGGAGGGGACTCTTCTGGTGTTGAGCAGATAGGGACGTGGGTAGGAAAGGGAGAGAAGAAGACATAAAACTACTAGAGGAAAACAAGGAGAATAAGCTCTCAACATGAGTCTCCAAAACATTTGCTTGGCTTTGACACCAAAACAAAGGGAACAAAAGCAAAAATAAGCAACAAGACTACATCAAACTAAAAAGCTTCTGCACAGAAAAAAAAATCTACTAAAAGAAAAGGAAACACTACAGTGGGAGAAAATATTTTCAAATCATGTATCTCATAAGACATCAATATCCAAAACATAGAAAGACCTCAGACAGCTCAATGACAACAACAACAAAATCCTATTTCCTAAAATTGGCAAAGAAACTGAACACTTTCCCAAAGGAGATACACAAATGGCCAACACATATATGAAAAGGTGTTGAAGAGTGGTAATATCAGGGAAATACAAATCAAAACATGAGGCATCACCTCACACCTGTTAGAATGGCTATTATCAAAAAGACAAGTGATATCAAGTGATGGAGAGGTTGTGGATAAAAGAAAACACTTGTACACTGTTGGTAGAAATATAAGCTGATGCAGCCAGTATGGAAAACAGCATAGAGGTTCCTCAAAAACTAAAAATAGAAGTACTGTATTACCCAAAAATCCTACTTCTGGTTTTATGCTCAAAAGAAATGAAAACAGGATATCAAAGAGATATCTGCTCTCCAAGGTTTGTTGCAGCCTTATTTACAATACCCAAGACTGGAAACGACCTTAGTGTTTGCTGGTGAATGAGTGGATAAGGAAGATGTGGCATACATACATGCAATGGAATATTAGTCAGCCATGAAAAAGGAAATCCTGCCATTTCCCACAACATACATGGGCCTTGATGGCATCACACAAAGTAACACAATCAAGACAAAGGTAAATACTGCATGGTATCACTTATATGTGAAATCTCTAAAAAAAATAGTCTAACTCACAGAAACATAGTAAGAAAGTGGTTGTCAGGGTATCAGGATGGGGCAAATAGGGGGAAATTGGTAAAACAGTTGGATCTAATGCAAAATATGGTGACTATAGTTGATAAACCTGTGTTATATCATTGAAACTGGCTGAGAGGGCAGAACTTAAGTGTTCTCACAAAAGAAAAGACAGATATATGAGGTAATAAATGGGTTAATTAACTACGTGGGAGAAATCATACACACACACACTTTAAATATCTTACAATTTTGTCAATTATACCTCAATATAGCTGAATTTTTTAATCAAGCTAATTCACAATTTCTGTTACATTGATATTCATTCTGAGCATTATCCACATGTCCTGTACATCATAAAACTAATTCTACATTCTTCTAGAATTGACTTTCTTGCAACTTTTTTACTACTATTTCCTATAATTCTCAAATTATTATCACATAAATGTAGTATTGTCTATATTACATTTTCAGTGTGGACTATTTTTTAAATGACAGATGGTATCTTGACTATATAAAAGATTTTCAAAGTGTGACTGTCAGTTTTTCTGAAAAGCTTGACAATCATCTTCAAATTTTTTCAGAACTTTTTTTCTCATTTTCCATCCTTTTTGAATCAATAACTGTTTTTATTCCACTTGGTCAGACAAATAGGTTTTTATAACAGCTGTATTCTAATAGTATATACACATATATATATATATATAATTAACTTTTTTACTTTATAATGCTTTTTCAAAAAACCATCAAGTAACAAGATATAGTTTGGTTCAAGGCCATTGAAATCAGGTCTTTTGAGTGAAAACAATCAAGTTATAGAGTGGATTTGCTGCACATCTCACTACCATAAAGTTGTTTAGTTCTAGGTTTTACAATGAGAAGGATATGTATGGTAACAATATTTTCTTCCCTTTTATTTCTGTCTCCATTTTACATTTCAATTTAGAAGATTATTGCCATGAATTCTTCACCCTCTGGTAACATATTTGAATTTAATTCCAGTTTTCCCAAATACCCTTCAAATTATTCTAATTATAAAAAGGTCACGATGGGAATCAACTAATAACTATAAAAATATATATATTTGAATTCAGCAGTGCTCTGCAACTATTTAGCTAAGACTTCATGAGGGAAAATATATGCTTATATTACAATAAGACTTAGCAATCAAAAGTAACCTTTCAGGGATATAGTCATTATTATTCCTTAATTTTTTTCTTCTTCCAAAGTATGTAAAAAGGCAATAACAAGTATTAAGATAAAATCTATAGCCACACTACATTTAGATTCCAATATTTGCTTGTGATGAATCTGCTTCATGTGAATGCTAAAGTGGGTAGGTGCTCAATAAAACTCTTATTTCCAAAGGTGGCTGGGAGCTTTTATTTGCCGTTAGGACCGACTCTAGATACCTAAACATGCATGTTAATACCCACACTTCAAAAGCCACATGTTAATATGTTAATATATGCAAATACATAAACTATTCTCTAAGGCCAGATATATGTTCACTTGGCTTATAATAGGTTGGTGAATTTTGAAATGCAAGTACAAAACTCCACATGTATTTAGTTTAATATAAAACATCTCATGCTTTGAGGGTAGTAGTAGATTTCATTAGTTAAAAAGACACCAAATGAGACAATCTTTCTATATCCATTACTGATTTGATCTATAAGCCCTGGAAGAAGATTGAACTTCCTCTTGCCTTGAGCCTCCTATGCTAGCTCCTAGATGGATATGTTGGGACACAGAGGAGGTCATTTTCTAGTCTTGTTTCCACAAAACCTGGAGTTCTCTCTAAACAAGAGCAGCAGTCAAGTTTATGGGCACATCTGTTCAGAGAGAATCAACTGAAGGACCAAACGACACTTTGGCCACAGTATTTCTCTATAAGCTCCTCTCAGCACTAGGATGAAAACACAATTTGTCTATTGTGTTACTTTTCTCCTAAAATATTAAGAGTAGAGATTTGAGTAAATAATTGGCATTCGGTAAGGAAACCTATTATTATCTCCTTAGTCCACAAAGGTCTTAAAAGATTTTTAGGTAAACCGTTTATTAATGATTAAGGGTTTTTGAACAAAAGTCCTCAATATTAAAAAAATGTACAGATCATCAATCATTTAATGTTAAAGATTTTCACACCGTGAACATGTAATATTACCTGAATTTATTATGTAACATCTATCCCAGACCTTTCTGGTGACTAGAGTGGGTTAAAAATAATGGCAGGTTAAAGACTTTAATCTTCTAGATTTTTGTTTTAAAACACCATTTCCTAACTTCCAGGAGAATTACAGTGTACTGACACTGAAAAATAGCACAGTCTGATGTAACTTTGAAACCAACTGGACAGTAAATCATCATTTTCCATTGTTCGCCTCTTCTATGACATCACGACCAGTTCATAAATAGTTACTGACTCTTAAAAAAAGAAGTCAAGCTCAGTGTCCTTACCTGGCACCCTCTTTGCCCAGTTGATCATGTGAACCAGCTCCCTGTCTGCGAGGTTGGTCAGCAACCCCATCATCGAAGCCTCACTGAAGGGTCTGGTAGGATCGTACTCAGAATAGATTATGGGGGGCTCAGCCTCCATCAAGGCACTGACCATCTGATCGGCTGTCAAGGATAAGGCAGGGCTGTTCTTCTTAGTGTGCTTAATCAAGAGCGGGCTTGGCCAAATGCTGGCAGCTCTCATGTCCCCCGAGGCCCCCGCTTCATTCCTGTTCTCCCCGTCATCTCTTTGCCGCTTGTGTTTCAACATTCGCCCTCCTCTTCGGTCCTTCCGAATCCCTGAGAACACAGAAACAACGACCAGCTCATTCTTTTTCTCATAGGTACTTTCACACTAAAACCATCTTCAGTGACAATAACCTTTTATTCTATTTAAAGAAATACCCTGAGGCGCAAATATGCTGGTGTTTGACAACCAGCTGTCCAGGAAATTTTTTTAAAGGCCCTGATGTGTAGCTTTGACCAGTTCCATTGTCTAAATACTTCTACCATGCAAATTTGAAAGTACCTGTCAAACATCAAGCAGCTTACAAAACTCCTGAAAATTGAACAATAGGCTCTTGTGAGCCAGTAGAAGCTGGCTCTAACAAACCGTTTGTGTGTTTAACAGATGCTACAAAAAGAACAGGATTATGATTAGTTATCCTTGTAATATAGCTTAGTATCAAATACCGCTTCTGCTATGAATAGTATTTAATAATAAATTAATGCTACACAGAGTGATTCTTTAGAAAGATTACTAAAACTGACAAAACTGTGGCAAGATTCACTAAGGAAAAAAGAAAAAAGCTCAGAGAAAATCAGGAATGAAAGAGATGTTACTACAGAGACCACAGAACTAAACAGACTCATGCAAGAAAATTATGAAAGACTATATGCCACCAAATACAATAACCTAGAAAAAATGGATAGCTTCCTAGGTATATGTAACCTTCCTGAATCATGAAGAATTGGAAAATCTAAATCAACCAGTCAATAGGGAAGACATAGAAACATCAAAAAATCCCCAAAGTAAAAGTCCAGGACCAGATGGTTTCACCAGTGGATTCTACCAAACATTCAAAGAAGACTTAATACCTAACCTTCTCAAATTCTTCCAAAAAATTAAAGAAGCAGTACTTCCTAACACATTAGATGAGGCCAACATAACCCTGATACCAAAATCTGGCAAAGATAACACACAGACGTACACACAACTACAGACCAATATCTCTGATAAATACAGACAGAAAAATTCTAAACAAAATACCAGCAAATCAAATATAACAACACATTAAAAAATAATATATCATGATCAAGCGGGGTTCATCCCAGGGGTATAAAGATGGTTCAACACACGCAAATTGATCAGTGTGATACACCACCTAAACAAAATAAAGGATAAAAATCATACGATTATACCAATAGATGTAGAAAAGACATTTGACAAGATACAGCATCCATTTATAATTAAAATACCCAACTAAATAGGCATAGAAGGAAAGTACCTCAACGTAATAAAGGTCATATATCACAAACCAGTAACTTACACCCGTACTCTAACATCGGGAACTAGCCAAGAGGGTTCACTCTTACCACTGTTATTCAATACAGCACTGGAAGTCTAGCCACGGCAATCAGTAAGAGAAAGAAATGGAAGACATTCGGATTGGGAATGGAGAAATAAAACTGCCACTTTTTTGCAGAAGATATAATTCTTAGCATAGAAACCCTATGCTAAGTGAAATAAACCAAGCGGTGAAAGACAAATACCATATGACCTCACATATAAGTGGAACCTATTAAACTAAACACACAAGCAAGCAAAATATAACCAGAGACATTGAAATAAAGAATGAACTGACAGTAACCAGAAAGGAGGGTAGAGGGGAATAACAGGGGAAAGAAGAGGAAGGGTCATCAAGGAACATGTATAAAGGACCCATAGACAAAGGCAACAGAGGGGTAGAACTGAGTGTGGGAGGTGGGGGGGCAGGGGAAAATGGTAGGGGGGAAATGGGGGAAAACTATAGTTGAACAACAATAGAAAATGGACTAATTTTACCCAAAGCAATATAGATCAACCACACAAACAAAATGATGAGCAAAAGTAGCTATGTACAATAGAGTACATTCTCCAAGCTTCCTTACAAATGAAGTTTGAGAACTAGCAAAATTGATCTGGCATAACGACACTCTATAAGTGCTGGAAATGTTTTATATCTTGCTTTGTGTGGTGGTTACATAGGTGTTTACATGTGTAAGAATTCATTGAGCTCTACACTAAAGATTTGTGCACTTCATTGTATGTAAAATTGTATCTCAATATAAAATTAAATTAAAAGACATATAAAAAAGCAAACTAATAAAAACAAAAAACTATTAGAAACAATAAATAAATACAGTAAAGTTTCAGGGTACCAAACAAAGAACAAAAATCCATTGCATTCCTATATACTAACAACAAAATTTCAGAAAATTAAAAAATTCATATTCCTTTTGCAATTATAACAAAAAGAATAACATACTTAGTGCTCTGGGCTGGAGTGGCTCAGTGGATGGAGTGCTGGCCTGCGAACCAAAAGGTACACAGGTTCAATTCCCGGTGAGGGCATGTGTCTGGGCTGTGGACCAGGTCCCCAGTTTGGGGCTTGTGAGAGGCAACTGCACATTGCTCTTTCCCTCCCTCTCAGTCTCCCTCCCTTTTCCTGCTTCTAAAAATAAATAGGTAATAAATAAATGAAGAAGTAAACTTTAAAAAAAAGAATAAAATAGCTAGAAATAAACTTAACAAAGGATGTGAAGGACCTATACACTGAAATAATATATTATTAAGAGATTAAAGAATACACACACAAAAATGGAAAGATATTTTACGTTCATAGACTGAAAGAATCAGTGTAGTTAAAAAGGCCCTATTACCTAAAGCCATATACAGATTTTATGCAATCCCCCATCGAAATCCCAATAGCGCCGCACTTTTTAAGGAAGAAAACAAGAAAATCATCAGATTTGTACGGAATCACAAAAGATCCGAAGTAGCCAAAGCAATCCTGAGAACAAAAGAAGAAAGCCGGAGGTATCACACTTCCTGACTTCAAATTAAATTACAAAGACATTGTTCAAAAGGGAGGAGGCAGCAGAGGGGGAGGAATTGGGACAACTGTAATAGCATTAACAATTTTTTTTAAAAGCATTTGGGAAACATCCTTTCCATGAAGTAGACCTCTTAACAGAAAACACTAAAGAGACCTGACTTACCAAAATAGATCCTAAAGCCTCCGGTCCCAGAGGTGCTCTGCACGACTTTTGTTGTTACTGAGCTACATTTCATCACTTTAGGAATTGACCCAAGAGCCTCAGGCAGTTCACTTGGTTCTAAGATTTTCACCAATGTATTTCTCTTTTCCTACTATAGAAGTTGTTAAATAGTTTAAAATAATGTTCCCCAGAGATTTACCCAGCTATAGTCCTCACTAACTAAATTATGGAGGTGGGGGAGAGAACCTTATCTCTTTCACAGTGAAACTTTGAGGCTTCAGCCCAGCATCTTAACCTGGAAAAGGCCACACTATAGTGCTGAAATGTATCAATAGAAACTGATATTTTAAAAAGGGCAATTAAAAAGAGTAATGGGGAGTTGGGTGGGGACAACTGTAATTGATCAACAATAAAAAAATAAAAATAAATTTTAAATTTTAAAAAGAAAATAATTAACACAAGCATCTATATTTTTAAAATGCTAATCTGTGCAAAATGTTAGTAGACAACAGTTTTTTATTTTTTAATTTAATTGTTGTTCAAGTACAATTTTCTGTCTTTTACCCCCATCCCAGCCCACCCCCCCACTGCCCCCCACCTCCATCCCATTTTCACCCCCCTTAGTTGTTGTCCATGTGTCCTTTGTACTTGTTCCTGTAAATCCTTCCCTTTCCCCTGAAATTCCCTCCCCTCTCCCCTCTGGTCACTGACCACCTGTTCTCTATTCCAGTGTCTTTGGTTATATTTTGCTTGCTTCTTTTAGACAACAGTTCTTCAATTTATATTAAAGAAATTATCATTTTGGTAAAAAGCAATACAATTACTTTTAATATTAAAGTTATGACAAGTAAATACTCTCTATCACCTGTTCTCTCATTCCATAACAAATGGATAACTAATGTCAAAACTGTGTTCAATTTTGTCCTAATTTGTCAAGAAATTTGGACAAATGCGTGATATTTTTATGCATAACTTTTATTTTTATATGTCTATATTAGATATATTAGAAGACACTTTGAAAACATAAAGAATCCACAGACCCTTCCTGTTTGTACAGAACTAAAATAAGCAATTTTCAGGACTCTTAGAATTAGGCACAGTGGTAAAGATTATTATCACTGATCTGTACTGAGCACTCACCATGTGCTTTAAACACTTTCTATGTACTTTAGAGGTCAGCACTTTACCACCAGATTAGCCCTCACAATAACCTTGTCTGGTTGAAAACCACTACCCCGAGAGATTGATTAACCTGTCCAAGATCATTCTCTATTAAGTATGATTTGAGAGGCTAGCTCTAAAATGAAGATTTTTTTTCAGTTAACAGAGCTTTAACATTGTATCCATTATCAACAAAGTTGACAGATACAAGGATACTCAGGAGTAAAACAGATCAGATGAGAAGAACAGTTGTATCTGACTGGTCATAATACCCTTAGTCGGGCATTCCAACCATTTCATTGCTAAATGTACTAGTGAGATTATATCTGAATTAAAAAGATGATATTCACACTCTCCTCTCTCCCATCAGCACACACCTAGAATATCACACTCATTGCTGAATGCTACATATATAAGCAAAGTAATTCTATTTGGGTTAGAGTCCCAGGATGGTGAGGGGACGCGAAATGAGTCACATGGAAAATGTGTAACTAGGAGAGGTTAGCCTAAGGAAAAGAAGGTTTAGAAAAAACATGAATGCCACCCTCAAATGGGATGTCCTATATAAGATGGTGTCATAGCCTTAATGTTTGTATTCCCCCAAAATTCATTTGTTGAAATATAATCCCCAAAGTGACAGTATTTGGAAATGGGGCTTTGGGCAGCTAATTCCTGAATGGAATTAGTGACCTTATAAAAAGAGGCTAGAGAGGTAGCAAGCTCCCTCTAGCATATAAGTATATAAGAAAACAACTGTCTGCCAGCCAGGAAATGAGGAACAACTACATCAAGACTGAAGGGATTCAACTATTCAGTAAGCTTTGCACTATGTGACCTTCACTATACCTCCCATCCATGCATTGTATGATTCTATGATC